CTGCTTTTTTTTTTTTTTTTTTTTTTTTTTTTCGTTCTCTTTTCAAAGATGAAGGAGAAAACAGTGTTTGTAAAATACACTAGTGTTTTAAGCCTCACCAAAAGAGTAGCGTAAGTCTTATCTACAGACACACAGTCTGGATGTCAGCCCCAAAGCCCTTGCCCTCGTCCCCACTAACCTGTGCTGCCTCCTAAGCTGTTTTTAAGGGGAGTCAAAGCATGACTCTCAAGTTCCCCCTTAGCAAGTGTAAATCCCAGAAGACCAGTGACAAATAAGTACTCAAGCAATGCTCTGAAATGAATGCAACAATTATTTTTGTATTATTTAAAACAAACTGAAATACATAAGGGGACATTCTCAAAAGCCATTTAACACTAGTGTGTGTTAACACTCTGGGTTATGTGTTTCTGTTTTTATATTTGTTTAAATCGATAAAGACATTCTGTTCATTACTTTATTTGTAAAGCAACTGAACCAAAGGGTCCTATATTCATCCTATGTTGTGATAGGTTAAAGTATGTACTTATCGAGGAAAAATGCTTTTCTTCTTCTTATCTCTTAGAATTTGAGGCCAACATTGCTTTGATTATACTGTACTCTAGTTGGCTCAACTATTTCCTAACCTACCCATCATACTGTTTCCAGAGTGTCCTTATTATATAAAGTTGAATCTAATGTTGCTCTCTTCTTCCACAGTTTCACATTTATGCACCGGTTAATTCTAATGTCCACCTGGCAGATGGCAAAGTTTCCATCTACCTTGCAGCTTAGCCACACAAAGTTGTGTGTTTAAATAGTAAAATGACCTAACAAAAAAGATACTTAGACCACTGAGGCAGATCAATCATGCGCTTTCTCTGGTTGTACTTCTTTTTTTAAGATTGGTTGTTTTGTGGTCTGTTAGTTTTAATTATGGTTACTATATTCATGAAAAAGAACAAATTTGGTGATCTTGGAAAATTTCTCAGCCCGCTGTAGTATAGAAAACCTTGTAACAGTAAGAAAAAAAAATCATATTCACTTTAATAAAAGCATAGACAGACAGTGACAATTGGGCTGTGACACAACACCACTCACAGTGTGTCTCTTAACAGTACCTTTCATGTTTTTCACTCTAGCTCAAGGTAAGCCTGAGTCACAGTGGGCATCTTAGGGTTTCTATTGCTTTGTAAAACACCATGACCAAAAGCAACTTAGGGAGGAAAGGGTTTATTTCATCTTACAGCTTGTAGTTTATCAACCAGGGAAGTCAGGGAAGGAACTCAGGCAGGAACTGATACAGACGCCATGAAAGACTGCTTCTGGTTGGCTTGCTCTTCATGGCTTGTTCAGTCTGCTTTCTTATACCATCCAGAAATACCTACTCTGGGTAGTTAGAGTACACAATGGCCTGGGCCCTCATATATCAATCATCAATCAAGAAAATGTGTTCTAGGCTTGCCCACCGGCCAATCTGGGGTCGGGGATGTGTTTTCTCAACTGAGGTTCCTCTTCCCAAATGACTCTAGGTAGTGGGCAATCAAGTCATTTGTTTAATAAATAGCTAAAGTAAAAACATGTCTCCTAGTTTTGAAAAAATAGCCATTTATAGAGAAGCTAGGTAAACAAAAACTGTCATATCCATATAAGAGAGATAAGGAGATTTGTTTGTTGCAAGTTAATGTCAAAGAAGAAATTTCAACATACATTTCAAAGTATGGACATTCCAGAATGATCAGCTTTGGGTAAAAGTAAGACACAAAATGATTTATTCATGTTCTTCAAACCTCTTGATTCATATGATATGATCACAAGACAAATGAAGTATATTCTAAAAACCTGAACTTTCCAGAAATTACTTGAAGATATAGTCCTCCAAAGAGTAGAATTTTTAGCTTGTAAAGATATTACAGTCTTGCAGAGAAGGTTCAAAGCAAAACAATCTATGAATCAAGTGATCAGATTTTCCACAATTACATGCTGAACATGTTTGCTTTATTATTACTATTGAAAGTAGAGAGGAACATGTTGGGAAGAACGCATGTCACCCTAAAGACACTTATTTGGAGTTCACTCATCACGAGGGCCAGTGGTTGTTGCTGCTGCTACTTTTAAAGAATTCAGAGATTTGCTGGTAAGAAAGAAAGCTCACTGTGAGTTTGTTCTCAGAGGCTGTGCCATTGCATTGTGGGAAACACTCTTTCAGATCTATACTTACACCAGCATCCTGGGACAGTGGTGGATGCAAAGAGGCTTCCCAGCAAAGTTATAAGAAAACCAAAGAAAACTTAAAGGCTTCTCTTTCTAGGGCAAAACTCCTACTTCTTTACACTTCATGTTACTAGATTTTTAGACAATTCAGAACATCAGAATTGTTTTTGAAGCAACTCTATTATGTTTTTAGCCTCCCCCTATATTATGTAATTTTTAAAAGATTTATTTACAACACAAAAGGTGATTACGTTTATGCCACAATTTTAAGTCAAGATTACTAGTACTAAATGTTTATTGAAGCTTATTATTATGTGAATCATACAAGTATTTATCAAGAAAGCTTTTGAAGATAAATTTTTATAAAATCACAACAGTCCTGTAAGCTTTCAGAAACACAAAATTTGCATAACCATTAATTTTAAAAAGTCATTACTTTGTCCCTCATTGGGTTCATCATCTTGAGATCAACAATGTTCAGATGAGGAAAGTGGCGAAGCAAATCCTGCAGTTCATACAGGAGCTAGGGAAGGGCTAGCTAAGGAACTGTATCTTTTGGGGAGGGGGGGTGATTGACTAGGAAGAAAACTAGGTGAAGCATGGACCTGAACTAAGTTCCAGAGCTAAAGTGGCTTTATTATTAGTAAAGAATAAATAGATGTTCCCAGTAGTGGGAACAGCATGAGCAAGGACAGAACGTGAGAGCATAAATTTTTGAACTCAATCAAGAAGGAACAGCGGAGTGTTTTTAGAGATACGTTAACCTGTGAGGGATGAGAGACAATGCAACAGGACATAGGTGAGCTTGGCCTCCCTCTGTCTTAGTTGCTGCATTAAAGAATATGTTTCATTACTTGTTTATTGCTGCTATTGTCACAGTTATTCTCTAAGCCAAGAGGAATCTCTGAAGAAACATGGGAACTTAAAGCATCTTCTAGGAAACAGATGTTACCACACACTGTTCTGTTTATTTTCTCCTCAAGCAAATAAGGAACATTTCAAATATATTGTAGGAATTACTCCAATTTTCAAACTAGCATCTCATTGTGGACAGCTTCAAAATTTGCTAAACAATTTTGATAATAACTTTTAAATAAAACAAGGAAATACTTTTAGATTGTATAAAGGAATGACAAAATTTATTTAGTTCAACATGCACTCTATACATTTTGGTCAAGCATATTCTAAAATAGAAACCACAACTGTGGCAATCACTCAGAAGGTAAAGTGCTTGCCACACAGGGATGAAGGCCTGTGTTCAATCACAAGACCCAAGTAAAAGGCAGGACATGAGGCCTTGTGAGATTACAGTGTTGGGAAGGCAGACACTGACAGGCAAATTCACAAGGCTCCCTGACCAGACACCTGACCTAGCCCAAGGATGAGTTCCAGGCTCTTGTGGGAGACCTGTTTTAGGTTATAAAGCCACAAGTGGTCAAAACACAGAGAATAACTGATGGTGGAATGTTCAGCCCCACTGACAAATCTACAGCACAACTCCTATAGCCCAGGCTCATGGAATATCATGGAAATATTGTAAGGGTCAGAGGACTCGGACAGGATGTCTGCAAATAGTATCTTTTATATACAACAGGAAAGATGAGCATCCAGGAAAACTCAACAACACGGTTGCCTAAACAAGACCTAAAAAGAGACTACACCAATTGATGTGGAAAATTCTGACAGGGCTTGACTTGTACTAGCCATTAATAGCAGCTGAGAGTGAGAAAATCTGTCTTCTCCAAGAATGAGTTGCCTGATAGGTTAACCAACCCCAAGAGGTCATCCCTAAACACATGAGCAACACTAAATGAACTCATCAGGTTATATTTATAACTTACATACATACTAAACTCATGTACTTAAACAAACTTACATGCATATATATATATATATATGTAATAATTATAATTTAAAAATAGGAGGACATCAATTTGAGGGTGGAAGTGACACTAGAGGAACTAGATAGAAGAGATGGAGGAGAGCGATGTGAATACAGTAGTCATATGTGAAATTCTCTAAAAAAAATATAGTAAACAATTATAGACTAACCTTAAGAAAATTCCACTAAAAAAGAAAACAGAAGCACATAAAAGTGCTAGCGCCTACACATACACATGCATACACATATATGCACACACACAGGCATGCACACACATACACAAACTGGATCCTGATGACATAGAATTGAGACTAACACTTGTCTATGGGTATGTGCACACAGGAGCTTGGTCACCTTGATCACTGGCACATATGAGAACATCTTCCCTCAAATGGATAAACAGAAAACACTTTGAATTTACATGTCTACCTTCTAGACATAGGTGTAATTTTATCAGCAGAAGTCTGAAATTCAGAGAGGAAACTTACGAATTTGTACGCGGTCCGCACAGCAGGGGTTGCTTTGGTCACTGCTGTGTTGAACAATGCACCACCTTTCTGAAAGAAGAGAAGTGTTTTTAAAGATTTATGGGCAAACTGCTGAAAATGAAGCGTCGTCAGTAGTACAGAAAAATAATAGTAAGTGAAAGACTCATACAGTTATATCCAATGTTTTTAAGAGTTTATGTCTTCTACTAATTGAAAACAGGGTCTCAATATTCTACCCTGAGCCAGGCGTTAGTGGTGCATGCCTTTAATCCCAGCACTCGGGAGACAGAGGCAGGTGGATCTCTGTGAGTTCGAGACCAGCCTGGTCTATAAAAGCTAGTTCCAGGACAAGCTCCAAAGCCACAGAGAAACCCTGTCTCAAAAACCCAAAAAAAAACCAAAAAAACAAAAACAAATATTCTACCCTGTTCTTTTAGTTGGCGTAAAGCATCAGTTAAGAGTCATGTATTTCATCACTGAAGACTGGACAGGTGAGTAATGTGGACAATACTGGATATAGATTTAAAGTTTCTCAGTAAAAAGAATATGATGTTTGTTTATCAGGTTTTTTTTATGTTGGGCAATAAAGACTCTTCATGTTAAAAAACATACTAACAAAACTATGTTATCCAATAAAATCCCCATCCAATTCTACCATTGCACGTTAGTCTTTTGTTTGCTTTGATACTGATGAATACCAATTTCTAGAGAAAAGGATTTATTACATCATAACAAGTTAGAGTCCATCATCAAAGGAAGCCAGGGCAGGAGCTCAAGCAGGACGCTGAAGGGAGGAATGTTACTCACTAGCTCCATTCCAAGGTCATATTCAGAGGCCTTTCTTGAATCTCCTAAGATCACCTGACCAGGGTGGCACTGCCAATCGTGGGCTGGTACCTCAATCACTAATCAAGAAAACATCATACAGACATGCCCATAGGCCAAAATATTATAGAGGTATTTCCTCCTTTGAGGTTCCCTCCTCCCAACTGCGTCAAGCTATTAGAAAATAGCCAGCACATTGGTGTTCTGAAGGATAAGACAAAAAGAAAGGCAGACGATGGCTTTAAATAAACCTTTTCCTTCTGAACCAAATATTTTCATTTTAAAATTGCCTTTATAATTATCAACAAACTATAAACAAAAAATACTCAAAGTACGATAAAATATATACATTTCAAATTAAACAGTGTTAAGAATACTTTCTCTGAACCTTTCTCTCTATTTTCTGGAGGAAAAACAATAAGACCAAAGGCTTATGCTTACCTTGACTGTATGCACCCACTGTTGGTATGACCTCGGGCTCCCTGGAACATATAAAAATTAGATGCCAGGAATCATTGCTAAAAAGTAAAACTAGCCAGGCGGTGGTGATGCAGTCCTTTAATCCCAGCACTCAGGAGGCAGAGGCAGGCAGATCTCTGTGAGTTCAAGACCAGCCTGGTCTACAAGAGCTAGTTCCAGGACAAGCTCCGAAGCCACAGAGAAACCCTGCCTCGAAAAACCAAAAAATAAATAAATAAAAAAAATTAAAAAATTAAAATTACAAAGAAGAACCATAAAACTAGAAACCACAGTTGGCTGAGTTGGCCCTGCTGTAAAAGTAGCACTGGTGTTGTAAAAATGAGTGAGCTGTAACAGCAATCAAAACTTACACCAGACAAGCACTGGTCTTCATTCAAACATGAAGCCAAGGATTCAGTAGAACCTCCCATTTTAATATTTGCTTCTCAAAGGAAAATATAACCTCTTGAAATCCAACTTGTCTATGCTTTTAAAAATAATTTTTCAATGTTTTACATCTATTTGTTTTAAAAATATGTCTGTTTTATACAGTTAGGTTCACTTAAAACATTTCAAGTGTGAAGAAGAATGAAGAAAAAAGAAAATTGGGAAATGCAGAAAATTATGAGGAAAAAGATTGTTTTGTATTTTCTGAATAGTACTATACACAGGTACTTTTATTTTTTTCTTTTTGGTACTTGTATTTTAATGTAACTAAATGACACTTATTTCTGAAACTACCCTCTAACTTTCTAAATGTAAGAAGTATTGCTGGAAGGAAATATGAAGAGAGCAAGTGTCGTGGCTTGGAAAGAACTGACAGAATTACTCCTAACAAAAGCTGACAGTTCAGGCTGGGGAGATGCTCAGTGAGTAAAACCCCTTCTGTGCAAACATGAGGACCTGAGTTTGATCCAAATAAAAAAAAAGACAGGTGTGGTGGCACACACATATAATCCTAGTGCTGGGTGGTAGACACAGGCACATTTCTCTGCAAGACCCAGGCCACTTAACCAAGATACATGGTGAGTGATAAAATATGTCTACGGTTCCTTTGGCTTCCTCATCCACGTGTGGTATCCATCCAGTCTCCAGAGATACACAAAACTCACCCAAAAATCTGTTAATAAACACATTTGCTTGAAAATAACATTAGCTATTTGGTCAATGAAATGAAATTATCAGCCATAAGAGAAACACATATCTGGTGCTGGAGAGATGGCTCAGCAGTTAACAACACTTTGTTCTTGTAGAGAATCCAAGGTCAATTCCCAGTACCCACATGGTGACTCATAACTATCTATAACTCTAGATCCAGGGATAAGCACCCTCTTCTGGACTCTATAGGCACCAAGCATGAACATGGTATACATAAACACACACAGTCAAAACATGCATTCAAACAAGCAAACAACCACCCCCCAAAATACTTAGAAAAAGAAACACACATCTCACAGTCTTTCAAGCCAACTGATTACAGTTAGATTTTTAACTACCTTCTTAATTTTTACAAAGCTTAAACAGTCCCAAAAATCGCAAAGGTAAAAGTCATTATTAAAAATAAAATATCAATGTCTACTCAGTCACTTTTTCACGAAGGACCCCTCAAGATACAGTGTGTCCTTTTTATGTAGTTGTATCTCTGTTTTAAAAAGAAAATATACCAAGGGCTAGAGAACTGTTAGAGGCCCCAGCCTGCTTATAGCTAAAACTGATGACCTTGTTGAGTTTGATCCTCGGAACCCACACAGCATTGGGAGAGAACTTAATTCTGCAAGCTGTCCTCTGATCTACACACATGTAGGAGCATGCATGCATGTATGCATGCACACACATGCACAACTGATAAATATGTGAAGACTGCCACCACCCTACTGCTATGTACCAGTGCTAGAACAGCTGCCTGCCTGGTAAAGTCAGGCATCAGCCCCAAACTGCTACTGTGGTGTCAGCCTAGAGTATCTTGCTATTTTTCAAAGCATTAACAGAAATTGGACACTGAGAAATATTTAGTTCTAGAGTAATTTTATCCTCTTTTGAGACAGGGGGTCATCTAGCCCAAGATGACCTCAAATTCATTGCAAACTGACAAGGGCCTCTGGCTCCCAATCCTCCTACTTCCACCTCCCAAATGCTGGAATCACAAGTGGGTACATATTCTCATCAGTTCATATATCCACTACTTCCTCCTCACAAAGGATTGCATGGAACTCATTCATTTACCAGTTGTACATTACTTCATTATAACATATGGTGTTTATTTCCCCAAAATGAATTCAAGAAAGCATAAGGAAAACAGAATAGTATGGTAAAAACTTAAGATTCAAGAATAATTGTCAACCCAGAAAAAAAAAATACTAAAGTACCAACTATCAAGAAATCAGGAGGTTATAGGAGGAAGTTACATGTCTTACTTAAAATTTAAAGGCTAAATTCATATTCAGTTCTTTATAGGTCAAGTGATATTTTCACCTACTATACATAGTCTGAGCTGCATTTCTCTACTGTAAACTACACTAAACAGGCAGTGCCATGAGAAGGACGAGGTCTCTGGTTGTGTAGGGTTACCCTGTGGATGACACCACTAGGACTAGGTTCATTAGCAACCAACAAAAGTAAGAATCAGGTATTTTAAAGCCTAGTTCATTGTTTCTTCAACTCTGAAACACCACCTCTAGGATTGCTTAATGACAAAACAGAACAGATCAAGTCAGACAGGGTCTCCCTCCGATTGCTTTCTAAAGAACAGGGGCTGCTGAAAGCCCGGACTGTGAAAAGTCAGGAGAGTGGTAAGGGCTGGGCGGGTGGATGTCATGGGAGGGAGGGTGTTAGAACACAGGCAGCTCGAAGAGGGAGAAGGGAATGAAGGAGAGGGGAGGGTTACGTGGGGGATGAATTGGAGAGCAGGATAGAAGGAGCATGGGGAGGGGCAACTACTTCTGGGAATGCCACAGGGAAAGCCCACTACCATAGATGATTCCTAAAATAAACTTAAATGCAAAAAGTTTAAATGGAGTTGCTTTATAAAGAGGTTCAATGTCTGCTAAACAACACCAAATAAAAAGAAAAGAACTACTAACTCCTACTGTTTATCCTTTCTATTTCAAATGCTAATGAATCAAGCATTATTTTTTCTAAGAACAATATCTATGCATTTCTAATATGATTTAAAATACAAATAAAAATACTTGGCTTGCATAATTTTTAAAAATACTTTCTTGTCCACTCAAATTAATAACTCTGGAAATGGATTTTCATTTTGAATAAGCATCTGCCCCTCAGATCAGAACATTGGAGCTCAAAATCATTTTAATTATAATAAAAACCAATAAACAATCAGAATTAAGTAGATCACTAAGTCAGATGCTGACCAAGATCATACTAGCCTCCTTTCTTTAAGCACTAGGGATTTGTTAAAATAATAATAATGATAATAATAATAGTAATAATGAATTAGTTATTCTTATCTACTAGTGGCAGCCATTATCTCACCTTTATTTCTCCAGTTCCTGGACCAGCAGTTATTACTACAGAATTTAAGTTGTACAAAGGGATCACAGCTCTATTCCATTACTGTCACAAGTTGTCATCTTCAATTCTACAAAAGCTACCAGCCCCACGGGTCATAAAGATAATGAGACAGCAGCTATGTAAATACTGAGTAGTTGCCTCAAGCAACTTGTCCATTAGCTGACAATATTTTGCTTGTCTGAGTTGAAAAGTGAAAAGCGTCATTTTACCACAAAAGTTCCATTGAAGCTAAATTTCTGCCATGAGCTGAGGAGAAGGAGCTGAATGAACCCACATTCAGCTCTCTTGCTGAGTCAGACAAACTAACTTCCCCAAGATCAGTGAGTCTTGTGAGGTGCTGTATTTCTGCCAGTTGACGGCCTCCACTACCAAGCTCAGATGCTCCTTTTTGAATGAGCAGGTTCTCTTCCTCGTTTATTTCTGCGCTTTATGGCGGACAGGAAGTATTTAAGGATACAAGTAAGGTGTGAAACTTGAAGATATGTACTTATTGCTTTCTATCTTCTCAATTCTAGTAACTATTATTTCAAACAGACTATGAACCTGACTATCAAAACAAACCAACAATGAGGTCAAAACAAACACATGGAGACAGAGAGAGAAGATGTACTGCTCACTTGGGTCTCACAAATACAGAGCAGTGTATGCAGCAATCCCGCTTGAGAGAATTGCCGAGACACTGGAGGACTCACAGAAAGCTCTCCGCATGCCAGGTCTATGAAGTACAACATCCACCAACAACATGTCAACACTGGATATTTATTACATAATTATTACATAATTTATTACATAATAATAATTACAACACTGGATATTTAAATTTAGAGGGCATTCTAGTTTTGGAATGACAAACTTAAAACTCTGCTGTAGTCTGCAGACCAGAAATTATAAAGATTCCCACATAAGACTGACTGAAACAGGAAGTGTGCCTGCGGAATCCCAGGACTCCCTGCCGCACCACACTGCAGTCACTCACTACTTCCACCAGAGTCTCAGTTGCAAACACAGACTAAGTCATACCATCACTCACCACTTCCTTTCGAGAAACTACTATTTGGTGGGAAAGAGTAGAGGATATAAGTTAATTGGAATCCTGTTGCTTATTTTCAACAATACCGAGAGATTCTTAGAGCCAACAACTACCAAGTTATCAGATAACCTTCCTGCCTTGATCACAAAAATAAGATCATAGCAGAGCTCATATAAGATGAAAATTGTACATAGAACATTGTATGTTAGGAGAAAATGATTGTTTATAAAAATATAAATATCAGAGACAGACACAAAAATCAGATGTTGTCTAAAATATAGAAAATCATACTCAAAATTGTTTTTACCTCCACAGAAGCCGCCCGAAGTAATCTCTTCTTCGAATACATCAGAGAAACCCCTTCCTGCATTAAGCTTTGCCAGTCGACCATCAATAAACTGAAATTTAAAAGTTTCAAATGTTAATTTTTATGAACTCATTCAGGCTGACAATGTTCCCTCCAAGAGCCAAAGACCACACAACAAAACCCACAATACCTGTCATAAGAAGCCATCTTTTGAATTGTTGGCCAGGGCTGTGCAAGAGACTCCCAGAACACACAGTCTATTGCAACTGCCTTTCATTGCCCCCAAAGGTGGAAGGTAAGTCTCTAATACTGAAGACACCATGCACTTCAGACAAGGGCCAAGAGACCCCTGAGCTGGAACTGAGAATCTGGCAGAGAATCTACAACCACAAATTTACTAAACCAGCAAAATCCTAACAATAGTCTATAAAGGTTTGTCCTTATGCCCACAGATAAGCATAGTTCCCACCCCTCATTAAGGAAACTTCTCTTTGCAACAGATGGAGACCATTAAAGAAAACTACAACCAAACAATATGAAGATTTGTGGAGCCCAGTCCCAACAGATACATCTACAAAACAAGTCCCACTCCTAAGGCTCACGGAATGTTGCAGAAGATAGGGGCAGAGAGATTTAAGAACCAGAGAATCAGTGAGTTTGCTGTGAGACTGTGTCTCCTGGTAATACTAGAAGCAACACCCATAAAGTCTCACCAACATGATTGCCCAAACATGAACTGAATGACAGTGCTAACAATGGACATGCCATAGCAGATGGGAAAAAGCCCAAGAAGTCCCAATTCTACACAAAGAACTACAGGCAATTGAGTAAAAACTAGGAGTAGTAAAGGTGTTCTTCTCAAGAGATGAGCGCACCAGTTGTTTATTCAGTGCCAACAGGTCAGCTCTGAAAACATTCTGTGGTGGTTTGAATAGGTATGGCCCCATAAACTCCTGTGTTTGAATGCTTGGTCTACAAAGAATAGCACTCTTAGAGGTATGGCCTTGTTGGAGGAGGTTTGTCACTGTGGGGGTGGGCTTTGAGGTCTCATATACTCAAGCTACACCCAGGGTTGGTCACAGTTCACTTCCTGTTGCATGTGAATCAAGATGGAGAACTCTCAGTTACCTCTTTAGCACTATGCCAGCCTGCATGCCACCATGATAATGGACTAAACATCTGAAACTGTAAGCCAGCCCCAATTAAATGTTTTCCTTTATGAAAGTTGCTGTGATCAAGGTGTCTCTTCACAGCAATAGAAACTCTAACTAAGACATTTTCACACAAATAACATTACAAAGACTCAGGCTGTTATATTTAGGAATACATACCAGTGAAAAAAGAGGCCATGAATTTGAAGGAGGGTGGGTAGGGGTATATAGGAGGATTTGGAAGGAGAAAATCAAAGGGAGAAATTTAATTATATTATAATCTCAAAAATAAAAATTTCAAAATGCTACACAAAAATAATAAAGGCATATTTTGTCACAGAAATATGCATATATGTGCTACACACACACACACACACACACACACACACACACACACACACACGCACGCACGCACGCACGCACGCACGCACGCACACACACACACTAGAACATTGTATAACAATGTAAAGAGCAGGCATTTGGCAGTCAGCAGTTTTATCAATTTAGTCACATGTGCTTAGCAGAAGCTCTTAATGCACTAATGAACAAGTGCAGCCATGGACATCTGCTTGTAGTCCAGTCAGTATCCCCTGATATCACCCTGACAACATCAATGTTCACCAAAAATCATTCCTTGTCTAAACTATAATACCCTTAAGCATAACTGAGTACCAAGAAATTGTAATCATTCAATAATCAAATAAATACAGTTTTCATGACATGCAGTATAATTGTTGGCTGAAGGAGCTGTTAGCATTCAGGCATCTGTGCTGGCCTGTCTTTGGGGTTCTGGCAGGATGTGCCCTCAGCTGCAGCCACTAAGTTCCTTTTTAAAAGGGCCCTGCCCACCTCCCATTCCTCTCTCTTTCTCTCCCTCTCTCTGTCTATTTCCCTCTCTTTTCTTCCTCCTTCCTCTCTCCTGCTGCTCCCATCCCCACAGGCCAGTCTCCCTTCTCCCCTTTTTGTGATCCCTTTCCCTAATTAAAAAAAAAACAAAAACAAAAACCCTCCGCTTGACCCTGTTACATGGTGTCTTTCTCTAAAGCACTGCTTTTCTTAAATTACAACAGGATCAGATAGGATTACTAATTTAAATATCAAGGAAAACACGTATTGCTATGACTTGCTTATGGTCCCTTTAAATAACAGTTTTCAGTGTTCCTAAACAAGAGACTGGAGTGAGAGGTACAACCTCTACAGGCCCCTGCACATGCTTTCCACGATGCAGTTGCCCTGGACAGTGCAACTGTTCAGAGAGGGCAGTGGGTATATGGAGGCCTTCACGTGTTGACAGGATTGAAAAACACTGCAGACATTACATGTGGCCAGTGTGGGGGAATATCAATAACATATTAAATACATGTGCATTGCTGCCACCTGTTTAACTCTGCTTGTTTACTTATAGTTTGTTGTGTTAATAATGACAGTGAATGGTCTAAGGCTTTTCTATATCTTTCATGCAAGGGTTTATCATGAAATATTTTAGATATGATTTTAAAGATGTAAATGGTAAAAGGCGAAAGATTTATATGATCTGAAGAGAAACCAGAGTATGGAGTGTCTTGCTCTGCTACTGAGCAGTGCATGTGGATCCAGACACACAGTTTAAATGGAACACAGCTGAAGGGATAAAGAATATTCAAAGGTGTTAAAGGTCATACATTTTTGCTTGGCTTTAAAGGTAAATAATTACATCACTATACAGAATCGGCATTTTATCATGGGATCAAAGTCAGTAATATGATGTTGGTGTCTTCACTGTATACAACAGGTGATTAATTTGAAAATAAGACAGTTAAAGACACATTGAAATTTTCTCTTGCACAAGTTTTAACACAGCAGTATAAATCAAATTAAAGTGATGTAATTCCATGGACTAAGAGTCATCTTTTAAAGTATAGGGTGAAAGGGAAAAGATAAATTTAAAGCAATATATTACTGGCAAGAAGAACCAGCTAAGGCATCCTTTTAAAGGACTTCATTTGTTTTAAAAGATTAAAATAGAAGACTTTTAAAAGGTTTTCCTTTTTGTTTACGGGAGAGAATCCATTCATTTTATTAAATGAGTGAATAGTTTGAGTCAAAACCGAGAATCCCGAAACTATCTAGGGATTGTGAACTTCTGAGCACGGGTAACTAGTTTCTGAGACTAGGCCACTAAGTTGAGCCAGCAGAAATTAATCACTTGGTAAAGTGGCATGCGCTATCATTGCCTTTGCAAACACCCTGTCAGCAACAAGCAGACACTTCTCAAAGTACACATTGAGTGTACATCTACACACACACACACACACACACACACACTATAAATACAGACATTGACTGCAGGCGTAGATAGAAAGCGGTATTAATGGAGAGAAGTGCTGCACGTGACAGTGGCCGGAACTCCTTTATTGACATGTATGTCATTAGCAGCTCTTCCTTCTTCCTGACTGGATGTGGCTCATGGTCATGCCACTCTGCTATCTCACAGTATGCAAGGGAAGGACCCGTTTTAGGTACTGTTGCACACAATTATCAACTTAAAGAAAAAAAAAAAAAGAACTGGTTTCTGTTGAAAAGATGAGTCCATAATCCATTGTTTGAGTTACACTGACTATCTCATTAGAAAACACATATTTTCAGACAACTGGTAGTTTTAGAATTATTTTGTTTTGTTTGTTTTATTCCTCGTAATGAATGACAAGTAACACTGTCAACAGAAGTGACAGACACAGCATGAAATAACGAATGAGCAGATTTGTAGTACAATTTGAGAGCCTGTTTTAAAGATGGCTGGAGTGTATGGTTTTTAAAAAATAAATTATAAAGTGCTAAACTGACATAGGGCTAAGGAGACAGCTTGGTGAGAAAAGTGTTTTTAAAACTCCACACACCAGGACTCTGGAGGCACAGACAGGTGGATTCTGTTGAGTTCGAGACCCACCTGGTCTACAAAGTGAGTTCCAGGATAGCCAGGACTATACAGAAAAGAAACCTTTTATGAATATGGAGCAAGGGAGACCTTAGCAGGGTCCCGTGGCATGTGAGAAACAAGTAAGTCATCAGGCACGACTTACATGGAAAGGAAGTTTATTGGGGAAGGGAGGGGAGTGAAGGAAGAGGGAAGAGAGAGAGAGAGAGAGAGAGAGAGAGAGAGAGAGAAAGGCATGCCTCCTCAGAGAAATGGGAGAAAGAGTGGGAGTGGGTGGGGCTTGTCTCTTAAAGGGACCTTTGCACCTGTGTACCAAGCCAGGGTACCACCTCCCATGCAAGCCAGGTCCCCAAGGGATGGGGCCAGGTTTTCATTTGCTTAGATGATAACAAAACCCTGTCTGAAAAACTAAAGAAAAAAAAAAAACCTACACATGAAAGTGCACACACACCATCACTGCCACTAACAACAACAAAACATCATCATCATCAAAGGAAGTTGGTTTTTGAGGAACAATATCTGAAGTTGGCCTCTGGCCTGCATACACACCCACAAGAACACACACCCATGCATACAAACTGATTGATGCAATACACACAGTTCTCAAGACAAGTGAGACTATGTATAAGACAAGGAACAATTTCTATCCTAAACCCACAATATTGGCAAGAACTAGATTTTGTTAACACTCAAGGCATGCCATGAAATAGTGAGGCAGGTTATGAGGTAACAAACATTCTTAAGCAGCAAGAGCTTTTTGCCCTTCTTTTGATGCTGATATCACTAAAATCTGTCTAAACCTTTTTAATCTTTGCACAATTATCTTATAGGAAACTGTTTTAAAGAAATCATTGTTTTAAAGTCACTTCAGCAAGTAGTATTATTCATGAAAATCCAGTATGAAAAAAGAGGTCATAAATTTGCAAAAGAACAAGGTAGATATTTGGGAAGGTTCGTAGAGAGGGAAAGAAAGGGGAAATGATGTAATTATAAACTAAAAAAATAGAAATAAATTGAGTTTCAAAA